CCTGTTGAGGAAATGGACCCATTGAAAATTCCCTGGTCAGGAATAAAGTGCCAGAGCTGCAGTTTCCTGCTACGGCTGCTACATGAAGATGAAGGGGCTAGAACTGGCATTGAGCCCTGCTAGAATGATCCCTCTCCTGTTGACTTAAAATAGGTCAGGAAGGTGAGTTTGTTTTGCAGTGGTGCAAGTCTCAGGCCAATAATGACACCCTGCACAAAACAGTTCTGGTCTATGAGTAGTAGCTCTGATAATACTTTTGATAATATAAATAAATACATACTGAGAACTGTGGAAAAGTCCCACTCAGGCAACATATTTTAAATAAGTCTATGGCTTCTTCTCTGCACAACATGCTTTTCCAAAACATTGGCACTAGAAAACTGCTTGATATCTAAAGCCAAAGCAGAGCTCATTTCTGTTCTGGAAGTTTATCCCCATGAAATTTCAGCAAGAGCTTTCTTTAGTGTTTGTTCCAACCTGACTGCAAAAAAGCACCTGAAAGTGCATCAAAATTCACCCAAGACTGTTAAAAGAATACCTCTGACACCAGAAGTGCTGAGAGCACTCTGATGGCAAGAACGTTCAGACTCAAACTCTGCCAGCATAGAGTGAAAAATTAAAAAATTCTTGCTGTGTTTTGGATTTAACATTTACCTTCAATGCCAGCAGAGATTTAAAGACATTTAAAAAACAGGGGAATATGCAGTTACAAATTCTCTAGATCTGCTGACATTTTAAGAAAGATCCACTGGACCTAATCCTACCAGCTTTCTTGTGGATTAAGCCATCACTTACTTCCCTGGAAGATTTTTTTAGATTTAAGTGCTACAGTGCCAGAAAATCCGTGTGCAATAAAATGAAGAAAGCACAAAAGATGTCTTCATTTTGATATGAACAGAAGGTCTGAAAATTAGTTCAATGTGCCTAATAACATTCAAAATTGTTTAAAGGTGGAGTTTAAATAAGCAGCCAAGTTTTCAGCAGATGCTCAGGCATGCTTGATACTCAATGCTCCTGAAAAGTCTGTCTATCTATTCAGATGCTGAAATACAGATGTAGGCATCCACTATACTAATGACTCATTTTTTCAAAACAAAACCAACATGCCCCCCTAAAAAAAAAACCAAAAAACGAGCTTAACATTGGAGTAGAAAGTGAAAAAAAAAAAGTGGAATTTTTGTTTCCTTTTTTCCCTTCACTTGAGCTTCCTTTTTTCTTAAGATGAAGATTCACTTTCATTCCTTTTTCTACACAGGTACATTTATTATTGAATAAGCACCATCATGTGCTCGGTGTGATTAAAAAAGAAATGCAGGCCTTGCTCTCAGGCAGCTCACAAGAGAAAATAAAAAGCCCAAGAGATGTCATGGGGGGTAGCACTTGCTTCCACCACCTCTTAAAGGCAAAAACCATCTTTCCTATTTCTGTTGTGCTCTGTAGTTATGGATGGCATCTTTCCAGCACAGGAGAAAGAAAAGAGTACTTTTAATAAAGTAAATTTAAATAAAGTGAATTTCTAATGTATGATTCTGGGCAAACACTGGTTTAAAATGTGTGTGCTTGTGAGTGCAATACTTGTAATATGCATACATTTTTAAAGAAATGTGTTACAATGTCATGGTTTCCAAAAAAAACTGCTTAATAGCTCACTTTCCAATGCTGGTATAGTATAGGATTTTTGTAAGTTAGACTTTTGCACTTTTCCAAAAGCTGTGTTTGGAACAACATCGCTATTTTATATTCAATTTAAAGATTAAAGCAGTGGCATTCTACCATATGTATCAAAACTGAGGCAGCTGAATGCCAATTTTCAGGTGCTTGTAGCTACTGTTACAGAAAATGGAATTCAGCTGCATCCTTGAAATTGCTTTTGAAATTTCTTTACAAACATAGAGAAAGACTTAATCTATCGTAATATTCTTCTCATGTTCCAAATACTTATATTTTGAAAACCTCAACACAACAGATATTATATAAAGAATTCTTATTTGACATATTAAAGACACAATGTTTCAAATTTCATTACTGCTTTCTTGACTGTGTGTCACAATTCTGTAAGGATCAGGTTCTCATGCTGAATTGAGAATGTCTTCACTGGGATGAATCTATTGTTTCCCTGCTGAGTTTGGTGGTTTCAGTTTGTAGCCTGCTAAAAAGTAGGAAGTTCTGCTTAAAAAATTGCAACAAACAAAAATGCCTCATACTGAAGTCTCTGTGGAAAGAAACCCCTTGAGCACGAGGAAGGACCGCCCAGATTTTCCATCCAAGCCAGCAATGGCTCTGCAGATGCAAAGAGAAGCTGGTAGCACATTGCAACAGCCTGGCACAAGAGGCTGCACCCCTTCTTCGACTGCCTCAGCAGCATCCCATAGTTAAATATTCATGTTCAAATTAAGAGGAGAAAGAAGCGAGGGATGTTTTGTACACAGGAACTTGACAGTCACAGAGTGGTTATGGGAAAAGTCACAGAAAACTGCCATGTAAACTCTTCTCCTGCTTCCCAAATCGCAACTGGTTGTGGTGCAGTAGATGAGATCTACAGTGTATCTACTGTAACCTACATACTGTCAGGTAGCATGGACAGAACATTATTTCACTTATCAGTTTACGGGATTACCCAAGTCACTGCCACATGTTTTTTGTAACTGATAGGATATTTTGGAAGAAAAGAAGAGAAATTTTGCTTCATGTTTTTGCCTTAGGTAGACAACACTGTGTATCTGTACACTCAACATTTATTTCACAAAGCATGTTTACTGACTCAGAAAGAAACATTAGTCCAGATTCACAGAAGGACTTCCCTTCACTACCTGAAATATTCATCAGCTTTAATAGTAACCTACTGAAGTTTTTTGAAATGGAAATCTTACAAATGCAGAGGACGCCCACATATGTACATGGAATATGCACGCTACATGCTAAGAGTTTTCAGTCAATATGTTAACTAGAAATCAACTGTGACTTTTGTATTTTCTCCCCTGTATAAGTCAATGACCTTTTTAAGTATGTTGGCAGCAATTTGTATGCCTTGTGACTTTATATTTCATAAAGAAACACTGTGTTTTGTGTTATTTACACTAAAAAGATGTACCATGTAAAAGTTCACCTTTGTTAAAAATCGCTTTATCCTAAGTCTTTAAATTATTTCATGCTTTCAACAGGCACAATTAAGTATCTAATGAGAACTTCCATTCAATGTTACACATAATACAAAAAGAAAAAAAATGTTTCAGACATCAATGATAATATTTTAAATATATTGGCATAGGAAAGCAGATGTCTTTTTGCTTTATTAAACTGACAGTTCAGTTCTGAAACTTTATTTTGAAAAGATTTAAAAAGGATTTGTGTCTTTAGAAATAAAAAATGTAACAGGCATATCTCAAAAATATAGAAGAGAAAACCTGATTGTTACTACTAATGAAATAGCTGATGACAAAATAGTAGTCTTTTTGATTTTGATCACAAAAAATAAACTGGTAGTGACAGGATATGATGGATAGATTTGACATCCTGGCAAATCACTGTCATTGATTCAATTATTCTAATTCAGAATAAAAGCTGTATACAGTATGTGTTTATGCTACAGTGGAGTTTTTTAAGTGATTGACATTCATCATATTAGTTAGACAGTTTTAAAAGCTATGTCTTTGTTTTACACAGCGTTTTCAAGAAAAAAATAAAGTAGGACCTGGATTGTAGGGGAAAAAAAAAAAGCAAACCACTTAACCAGCTCTTGGTTCCAAACCCATCAAAATAAGTTACTGTTATTGCATCCTATTAATATGTTCTTTGAAGAGTCAGTTTCACTCCAGCCATGTAATACACTATTATAAAGACTGAATTTTGAAACTGTAACGCAATCTTACAGCTGGGTGACTTGGAAGTTCTGCAGAGATGAAGATATTACCTTTCAAAATGGAAGTCAGCCTCAGAAGAAAGAATGCGAGCCACTTTAATTTACAGGTCAGCCTTGCTTTACCATTCTTGTGTTTGATGAGATACACACAGAGAGAGACATACAAAATAGTTAGAAGTTCACAAATTGTACATCTGAGGGTACAGAAACCTGAATTACTTGTGTATTCTGCCCTGCTATAGACCAGCGTGCTGTGACACCCTTCCCTGAGCTCAACTGCACTCTTCTGGTTTTCTAGCATTAATGTAGCTGTCGGTTTGAATTTCAATCTTGAATTATGTCTGTTGACATAATTTCATAGTGCTGACTTCAATTGTTTAGGATTACTGTTTTGAACTACACAAGGAAATCAATTCTTTTCTCTGTGGTTAGTAAATTCCATTCAACTGCATTTTAATGCATGTAGTAAGACATAAGGCAAAGTAATTATATATAACATATTCTGATTCAAAAAGCAAGCGTTCTCAATTAGTGGAATATTAGAATAAAAACGATCTTATACATTTTGCATTTATTATTACATATTTCATAAATGTATTTCCTGAAATTGAAGAATGGTATTTCAGTGACAAAAATTAATGTTTTAAAAATCATAACTGTGTAGTTTGCTTTCAGAATAACATGTGACAATGAATTGCTTAGTTTCGTTCCTTTATTTTAATAAACCATCCAACTTAACTTATTATTCATACAAAATATTAAATATAAGTATATAAAAATTCCATTGGGAAAATATCCCCTTATTTTTATTGTAAAAAAAAAATCTAGAAATGAAAGGGTAAGAGTAATTTTTTTTTCTTTTAAGGAAAGGAACAAAATACTGTATGTTTCCAGTCAAGCAGAACAATGGCAGGACCCAACATAATAGAAGCTTTAACAAAAAGCAAAATCCTAAGAAGCCCCAAATCAATAATCCAGAACAACAAAAACCCGAAAATAATAAAAAAGAGGTCACCATATGATAACATGTATTTTTAAAGACTGCTGGGTCAAATCATTAAGAAAAAATATTTATATAAGTCATTAACACTCGTAATTAGAGTGTCATATAAATCTGAGTGAAACTGCTAAGTAGAAATCACTAGAAGTCCAGGTGCTTCTTGCCGATGGCCATAGCACCACATCCTGAGCTCAGCAGTTTGGCGGAGCCTGCCAGATCCTGTTTGCTCGCGCGGCTCACTGTGTCTGACAAGTCTGGAGGCAAATGCAGTCGCTGTGGCAGGAGATTTTCAGAGGGGAGAGGGAGAGAGGGACGGGGAGAGGGAGAAGAAAGAGAGAGAGGAATAAACAGGGAGGGGAAAAAAAAAAGAATAATTTCAGCAGCATTTATTTTCCATGGCGTTTTTAAAAATGCAGACTTCTTCCTGAGTGAGCAGTGTCTACTCACACAATAACACACCTCCCAGACACTCTGTTAGGCTGACCTGGAAACAGTTTTCTACGTTTTCAGTATATTGGCTTCTATAAATTGGAACAGATTTTTTCCTCATGAAAATTTTTTAAACAAAATCTAAATTTTCTCAAGGTATTTAATTGTATCTATAGGCATTTTTCCTTTAAAACCAAGTCGCTTTCCTGAATGTCAATGCCTACATCAAATCCTTTGATTTCCAGGACATTACAATATAGGTAGAGTTGTATTTCAAACATGCATGCTTTGTGACAGTCTGAAAATAAATAATGTGATGGTCCAGAGAAGGAGAGGGCTTATCTGACTTGCAGAATTATTCTGCTAAATATTCCTTCTTCATATTCTACTGATAGTTGTTAATAAAACCTAGCAGTGATAGTAGTTGCATTTGTATAAGGCAATAACATATGCTAATCAAACCTTGCCATCCCTTGTGACTTGTAGGAACATTACATCCAGTTTACAGATGAGGAAACTGAGACACAGGCTACATGGTTGTCCACAAGCACATGGCCCTTGCATAATAAACCTTGTTTTTCAACTAGGATAAAAATATTTCAAGTCTCCCTCTGAGGATTTTTTACGCTGGAGATATATAAAAGACATGACATTACCATTTAGCTTTTGTAAAGTAAGGTGAAAATTAATGTAAAGCTGAGGCTTTGCTTTGCTAATGACTGGCTGGCTTTTGGACACAGTGAGGTACTGAAAGCCAGTCAGATCAGACAGTTGAGCATCTCCTACATGGTGCAGTAATTTATGAAACTGGTATCATGGAAGGAGCGTATTTCTTGAAAGATTTAGTAGGCAAAGGTTAAACTGTGTGGCTCTTCTTCTAAAATGCACACACTTCTGAAGGGAACAGGATAACAGTAAGGTCTGCAAAACTATATTAGGAGGCTCTGTGGACCATCCTTATTCTCTAGTTTTGCTGTGTTTCTGCTTTTATCACAATACATAAATACGGCTGTCTTCTACTCAGTGCCTTGCAACTCTCACAGAATAAAATAAGAATTAAATTTTAAAGCATAAGAAATTTCTGTATTTACAGTGGGCTGCCTGTTAATTCATTGCTGGCTTTAAGATTGTGCAAATAGGCATAACCTGAGAGGTGCTCCAAAGTGCTTCCTACCACCAGCCACTCCTGGCTGTGGGCAGTGCAGGGAGAGGAACATGTGCTGGGTTGTTGTCTTCTCCAAGGGAAGGGAATGCATGAAGTAACACATGTGGAGTAGGAAAGCCTGTGCCTGGGGTGAGATGACACTCCTCAGCATTGAAATAGGAGCTATTTACTCCTCATTCACTTGTAGCACTTTGCCTATGAAGTACAAGTTATGTATAAGCTTACCCCCCCCTTATACCACTGAGCAATTACACAGCTCTTCATGTCACCCTATTGAACTCAGTGCTGTGGTATGGTCTCCTTCACTTGCAGTACTCTGCTAGCAGGGTACAGGGGATCTGCTGTGTGGGATGTGGAGAGACAAGTGAGCTAATCCAACCTTCTCCCACTCTCTGGTAGCATCTCTCTGCCCTCAGCAGGGAGCAGAAAGGTGGCTTGCTTCAGGGGAAATGTAGTACTGCTGTCTTCCTCCTGCCAGTACAGACCCTTTTGCCAGGTCTGCCAAATGGATTCAGAGCAAGGTGATGAAAAGCAAGCAGAACTGAGACGCAGAAAACTCATCTTATGTAGGGACTTACTGATATCACAGATGGGGAACAAATGTGAACCCTGCCACACTGACCTGGACTGAAAGTGTGGCCAAAAGAAAAGAAATCTTTGACATTTACACAGCCTCTCAAGCAATGCTGTGTTCATTTGGTAATACATACTATAAACAGAAAACAGATAGAAGAAAGTTTATAAATTTGCAAAGACTCAGATAAGAAAAGTGAAAATTAAAGATCCTCAGATTGGGTGGTACAACTGCATTAGGTTTATACAGATGTATTTGTTATGACATAGTGTTTCACTAAACACACACATACCCTTCCTTCCCCACCCTACTCAGTGAAGAGGATGCACACTGCTCATTTAGTGACTGGCTAGTCAGTATTGTCTTTTCTTGTCACTGTTTACTCTGAACTTTTCCTGATGTATTTATTGTACACTACTCAAACCTCATTCTGAAGACAGAATGGCTTCTCAATAGTACGTGTCAGTATATAGCACTTGAATGCTTCACAGATACCAATTCTGATATTTTTCTAATGTTCTTGTGAGATAAGGCAGCAAAGTTACCTCCATTTTAGGGACAGGGAATTGAGGCACATAAAAGACATGGCAAAAGCTATCTACTAATTCCTGAAACACAATCTGAGGCATTTAGGACTTGCTTTTTCAGAATGTCTAGCATTGTACAGCATTTCACATGATCAAATGCTAACTTCATTTTCAGCTTTGAGCACTTATCATTTCTTCAAGAAGCCCAAGTCAGGCACTCAGAAAGTGAGAGACACAGAATAAGAGAACAGAAGTAAAAATGCTGGGCTGAAGTGACATGACCACACAGAAGCTCAGTGGTATAGGCAGAGACACAGCGTATCTTCCATGATATCCTTCAGTTGGTTTAATTATGAGACCTTTTGCAAACCCTACCCTCTCTACATTCCCAATTTTCAAATGTGACAACAATTGCTGGTCCTCCAGGAAGCATATTTCAGTGCATATGCCACCTTCATCCTTAGATCAGAGGTACCCTGAACAATAAACAAGGCTAATGCCCTCTGAAAACAACTCAATGTTATCCTGCCATTAAGATCTGAGTCATAGCCAACACACACACTCTGCCTCTGAGTAAAGCCTGAACAGGCATTTCAAAATATCATGCCTTACATTTCATGTGCAGAGCTTGAAAAATATAACCAGGCCTACAGATATTAATCCTATTAAATATTTTAACACCATTAAACCCACAAACAAACTTGAAATTCATTGCATGGTATTATAGAGACATCCATAGCTTAAACAACAGGCCTTTATTTTTGGCACCCACAGGGACATTGCAGTCGCTTGGACTAAGGCAGTAAGTGATAGCATGAATAGGCTGTGATCCTTTTTGAACACCAGCATTAGATCCGACATGTTCACAGATATTTGCTGACCACATAAAAACAATCACATTTGAAGTCCTAGTTTAGGACCAAATGTTTGCTGGTGGACAGACTTCTGTGCTATTTCTGAGGCTGTGACCTCTGCCCCTTCCAATCTCTCTTTTATCAGTCTGATAAGAATCAGGCCCATTTTGCTTATGTTGGCAATCCCAGTCCTTGCTGCCCAGGCCTCCCATCCTGCAACTGGTCTTCATGACAAAACACCCCTTCTCCAGCTGGCTGCTCTCCCCAGCCTCTGCCCCAGCC